TTTTCCTCACGGTGGGAAACATCATCCACAGACCTGTTCGCCACTTACCAGAACAAGAAGTGTCCACGATACTGCTCCAAGGCGGGGATGGGACAGCACTCTTGGGTCAATGCTTTCCTTGTCCCCTGGTTCAAGAACCTTTCTTATGCCTTCCCTCCATTTCCTCTTCTGTTGAAGGTCCTGCTAAAGATTAAGATCTCACGTAATTCTGATTGCTCCTACTTGGCCAAGCCAGACCTGGTACCCTTACCTGATGCAGCTCGTGATGTGCTTGCTGATTTCCCTTCTGACCACTCCTCACCTCCTGTCACAGGTCAAAGGGTGTACCCTACATCCCAACTTGGGGATTCTCTGTATCAAAGCATGGCTCCTACATGCTTCCAGCACCTAGAAAGCTCATGCTCAAGGGAAGTGCAAGAAGTTGTTACACAGTAGAAAGTCCTCCATGCGATGCAGTTACCTGCAGAAGTGGTCAAGGTTTCAGATTTGGTGCACGTCCCAACAAATCTCTCCAGTGTCAGCAACTTTTCCACATATTCTGGAACATGCTCTGACCTTTTTAAAAAAAAAATCAGGGTTATCCCTGAGCTCTCTCAGGGTCCACCTAGCAGTCATCACAGCGTTTCACCAACCCATGGAGGGGTACTCAGTACTATCGTATCCACCCACCAAAAGGTTCTTAAGGGAATAACAAACTTCTTCCCTCAACCTTGGCTTCCTACCCCGTCATGGGACCAAAACCTGGTACCGAAAGGGCTGACCAGGTCCCTCATTGAACCTGTAGCTACCTGTTCCCTGACATACCTATCCATGAAAATGGCCTTTCTGATAGCAGTTACCTTGAATAGAAGAATAGGGAAGATTGCAGCTCTGATGGCACATCCCCTGTACGCAGTATTCTTCCCTGGCAAGGTTACACTCAGGCCGCATCCAAAGTTCATTCCCAAGGTAACCTCCTCTTTTCACATGAACCAGTCAATCCACCTTCCCATTTTCTACCCCAAGCCTCACCAAGACAATAGGGAGGTCATACCACATACCTTAGATGTTAGGAGAGCCCTAGCATTCTACCTCAATAGGACAAGAGCCTTCAGGATGTCCCGAAAGTGTTCCTCTCTATGGAGGAAAGATCTAAGGGTTCAGCAATATCAGTCCAAAGACTCCCTAAGTGGGTCTCAGACAGTGCTACCAAATTCATAACATGATCCCTACACATTCCACAAGACACATCTCCTCATGTCTCCTTGAGATGTGTCCCCCTCTGGTTACTCCACAACCCACCCTCCTCCTCTCTACTTTGGAATTCTCGTTTATGACATTGCAGTACAGAAGGAACTGAGGATGGTTAGCCCATGCGTGCTGGCTAGCCTCATGGAATAGAGGGAAATAATCACTTCCCTGGATCCGCTGGCAATGCTCCTACTAATACAGCCCAAAATGCCATTGGCCTTCTTAGCAACAAGGACACACTGCTGACTCTCATATCCAGCTTCTCATCCACTGTAATCCCCAGGTCCTTTTCTGCAGAACTGCTGCTTAGCCAGTCGGTCCCCAGCTTGTAGCGGTGCATGGGATTCTTCCTTCCTAAGTGCAGAACTCTGCACTTGTCCTTGTTGAACCTCATCAGATTTCTTTTGGCCCAGTCCTCCAATTTGTCTAGGTCACTCTGGACCCTATCCCTCCAGCGTATCTACCTCTCCCCCCAGCTTAGTGTCGTCTGCAAACTTGCTGAGGGTGCAAAATTCATCCCCTCATCCAGATCGTTAATCAAGATGTGAACAAAAACAGCCCCAGGACTGACCCCTGGGGCACTCCGCTGCCAACTAGACATCAAGCTGTTGATCACTACCCGTTGAGCCCGACGATCTAACCTGCTTTCTATCCATCTTATAGTCCATTCATCCAATCCATACTTCTTTAGCTTGCTGGCAAGAATATTGGGGAGACCGTATGAAAAGCTTTGATTAAAGTCAAGATATAGCATATCCACAGCTTTCCCCATATCCACAGAGCCAGTTATCTCATCATAGAAGGCAATCAGGTTGGTCAGGCATGACTTGCCTTTGGTGAATTCATGTCGACTCTTCCTGATCACCTTCCTCTCCTCCAAGTGCTTCAGAATTGATTTCTTGAGGATCTGCTCCATGATTTTGCTGGGGGACTGAAGTGAGGCTGACCGGTCTGTAGTTCCCCGGTTTCTCTTTCTCCCCTTTTTTAAAGATGGGCACTATATTTGCCTTTTTCCAATTGTCTGGGACCTTCTCCGATCGCCACAAATTTTCAAAAATAATGGCCAATGGTTCTGCAATCACATCAGCCAACTTCTTCAACACCCTTGGATGCATTAGATCTGGACCCATGAACTTGTGCATGTCCAGCTCTTCTAAATAATCCTTAACCTGTTCTTTCACCACTGAGGGCTGCTCACTTCCTCCCCATACTGTGTTGCCCAGTGCAGCAGTCTGGGAGCTGGTACTGAGATGCTACCAGCTCAGCTTATATTCAGCAACATATTGAATTGCTGATATTATTTATACTAGGTTTATATTTGTAACAGGTGTTAAGCTGAGTTTGTTGGCTAGTGATCTAGATACGTGGATAAGCAGATCGATTTGGGAAAAGTCAAGAAAGGGAGATCTAAGGTTCTGTCAGATCAAAGCAGAGAATTGTAAAAGTTCACCTATAGCTTTCAGTAGTGAACAATCTTTGCAGTGCCAAGAGCTGAGTTAGCTATGTGCCAGGAGCTTAGGGCTGCATATATTTTTTTTATTTAAATTTTACATAGTCTTTTAAGCTGAGATAAAACCATGTAGCTGTTACAGCATTTCTGTAAGCCTGCACAGCACTCTACAAAACACTAGACAAAATAAGCTGTAAGAACTGTGGAATCACTGGTGAAAAATGGAACAGCTTCTTTCCAGCTTGCTATCTAGCCCTTTAAGATGTCGGCATATGCTAGAGATGTAGGTTCGTCTGGTAGGTGTTATCTTGACTAGTTGACATTTATAAGACTTCTGTTTCAAATAGTGCTTTTTTAGGGAGGCCTCTTTGGACGTAGCAGTTGTCGAACATAACTGGATGACACCTAGAGCAGTGGTTCTCAAACTTTTGTACTGGTGACCCCTTTCACATACCAAACCTATGAGTGTGACCCCCCCCCCCCAATAAATTAAACACTTTTTAATATATTTAACACCATTATAAATGCTGGAGGCAAAGCGGGGTTTGGTGTGGAGGCTGACAGCTCGTGACCCCCCCCAGGTAATAACCTTGTGACCCCCTGAGGGGTCCCAACCCCCAGTTTGAGAACTCCTGACCTAGAGCAATGTTACTAGGTTAACTCCGCTGAACGTGGTTGGTATCCATTTGAGCACTCTGTCAAGTCATTCTAGTGGACCTTTAGCCCCCTCATCTTCTCCTGGTTCAGCTGAAATTGGGACTGCAAACAAGTTGAACGCTGATCAACAGTACAGACTTTAAAAGTGGAACAAATATATTTAGACATGCTTTGGTACATCTAGTGGAATGTTCTGCTCTGTAGAAGGCACAAATTTGGCTCTCACAGATCTCCTGAACATGTGTTAAGTTAGAAGTTGGGAAAATCCATTCCATTGATGCTATCTGTGCAAAACGTATTCATTGTAAACAAATGAGTGTTCTTCCTTGTTCCCAGGCCAGTTGCAAAGAGAGGCCCTCTACTCCTTTGTTCCTTTAGAAGCTAAAGTCTCTTGCTGCCACCTAAAGTGAGAGTATTTTTAGGTAATTAAGTCGAGTCAAGAAAACTCATTCAGCCTTGCAGAGTTACTTACAGAATGACTCTTCCACACACTTCCATGCCTGGCTATTTCTGAAATCTTCAGTTTTACTCAGCCTAACTTAACACATAGGAATTCCCTCTTGCCAACTTCCTCTCACCAGTATTTTCCTGTTGCAGATGGATACTGAAGCCAGGAGCAGTCTGCACGTAGTGTATCACGGATAACAGATTTCCCAGGGTCCTGATTTCCCATCTGGTCTGTGCTGAATGATTTTCTTGAAAATCTGATGTTTAGTCATGTTAAAATTAAAAATTTGGTTGGGATTTAACAGGATATATATTTCCCTGCAGCTTTGAAAATACTCAACTAGTAGATGGGGAAGGGACATGGCCATGCCTCAGAGCCTGAATGATGGGTCTGGACTGCTCTGGAAACTGCAGGAAGAGTGCTGCAACCCACTGAGGGAAGATGTAAAGTCAGAGAAAACATTGTCAGTTAACATGTTTTCCAGTTTTTATCTCCAACTTCTGTTATATTCACCTACAATGGAGATAAGCAAACTTTTTTGCTTGTTGATTTTGCATCAGAGCATACACGTGTTAAATCAATGGTTCTTGTACTCGCATTCTGTGTAACCCTTCCAAAGAGAGATCCTCTACTATCTAATTCTCTGCTACTTGCTTCTTAACGTGTGATTCATGGATTCATGAACTGATGTTTTCAGGAGAAGAATTGCTGTTAGGTTGAAAGTAGCTTTTCTTTGCATTGTAAGTTGCCCTTATGAAATTGATTTGTGATGGGATCATTTGATTATATTAGAAGCTTTCTATTAGAATTAGTATTAGACCCAAGTTTCTATTAGTACGTATTAGAAGGCTTGTAACTTGTAAATTGTGACGACAACAAGGGGGAAGGAATGCAAGCCAAAATAGGGAAAGACTAGGTTAATAGGGTAAAGACTATTTAGACAAGTTAGATGTATTGAAGTCAGTAGAGCCTGATGAAATGCACCTTAGAATACTTAAGGAACCATCTGAAACAATCTCAGAACTGTTTGAGTTTTCAAAGATAATCACATAGAGGACAATTGAGGTCTCAGTGAACTTCAGAAGGCAAACATAGTACCTATCTTTAAAAAGAGGAACCAAGAGGATCAGGGAATTAGAGGCCTCACTTCGATAGTTGGATACACACTGGAACAAATTTATTAAACAATCGATTTGTAAGCATGTAGAGAATAATAAAGTGATAAGTAATAGCCAGCATGGATTTGTCAAGAACAAATCATGTCAAACCAACCTAATTTCCTTCTTTGGCAGAGTTACTGGCCTGTTGGATAGTGAGGAAGCTGTTGACTTAACGTATCTTGATTTTAATAAAGCTTTTGACACAGTCCCATGTGGCAAACTAGGGAAATGCAGTCTAGATGAAATTACTATAAGGTGGGTGCACAACTGGTTGAAAAGACTGTACTCAGTGCACCATTGATAACTACTCTTTATCAGACTGGAAGAGTGTAACTAATGGGGTCGCAAAGGGGTCTGATCTGGGTCTGGTACTATTCAATAGTTTCATTATTGATTTGGATAATAGAATGGAGAGTACGTTCATAAAATTTGCAGATGACATCAACCTGCAAAGGGTTGCAAGCATTTGGGAGGATAAGTTTAGAATTCAAAATGACCTTGACAAATTAGAGAATTGGTCTGAAATCAACAAGATGAAATTCAATAAAGACAAGGGCAAAGTACTACTCTTAAGAAGGAAAAATCAAATGCCCAACAACAAAATGGGGATGAAGCAGGTAGGTGGTATATTGCTGAAAAAAGATCAGGGGGTTATAGTGGACTACAAATTGAATATAAATCAACAATGTGATGCAGTTGTGAAAAGGGCTAGTATTCTGGAGTGTGTTAACAGGAGCGTTGTATGTAAGACATGGGAGCTAACTGTCCTGGTCTACTCGGCACTAGTGAGGCCCCTGCTGAAGTACTATGTCCAATTCTGGGTGCCAAAGATATGGACAAATTGGAGACATTCTAGAGAGCAGCAAAAATGATAAAAGGTTTATAAAACCTGACCTATGAGGGAAGGTTAAAAAACACTGCTCTTGTGCTATGAGGGAAGGTTAAAAAAACTAGCCTTGAGAAAAGAAGACTGAGGGGGGACCTGATAACAAAGAGGAATGGACTTTGTTCTCCATGTCCATTGAAAGTAGGTCAAGAAGTAATGGGCTTAATCTGCAGCAAGGGAGAATGATGATTTAAGTCATAGATTACATACCATAGTTCTGCAATTTTGTATTTGAGTTCCTTCAGACCTCTTGGGTGGTCCTGGTGACTTATTTTTCAGTTTATTCCAAAATCTCCTCTATTGACCCCTCTGTCTGGAACAGTTCCTTAGATTTGTCACCTAAAAAGAATGACTCACGTGTAGGAATCTCCCTCCCATCATCTGCCATTTAGACTGATGCAAAGAATTCATGTAGTTTCTCTGCAATGGCCTTGTCTTACTCAAATACTCCTTTATTGTCCAGTGTCCCCACTGATTGTTTGGCAGACTTCCTGCTTCCGATGTACTTAAAAAAATATTGTTAGTTTTTGAGTCTTTTGCTAGTAGCACTTCAAATTCTGGTTTGGCCTGCCTAATTACACTCTTACACTTGGCTTGCTAGAGTTTATGCTCCTTTCTATTTTCCTCAGTAGGATTCGACTTCCAATTTTTAAAGGATGCCTTTTTGCCTCTGACTGCTTCATTTATTCTGCTGTTTAGCTAAGGTAGCATACTTTTTTTAATCCTCTTATTATGTTTAATTTGGGGTATACATTTAATTTGAGCCTCTATTACGGTGGTTTTTAAAAGTTTCCATGCAGTTTGCAGGCATTTCACGCTTGTGATTGTTCCTTTTAATTTCTGTTTAGCTTCCTCACTTTTTGTGTAGTTCCCCATTCTGAAGTTAAATACTATTGTGGTGGGCTTCTTTGGTATTTCCCCCCAACCTCCACCCCAGGGATTTTAAATCTAATTGTATTATGGTCCTTATTACCAAGTGGTTCAGCTGTAATCACCTCTTGGAACAGATCCTGTGCTCACTTAGGACTAAATCAAGAATTTGGTGGCAATTCACTCATGTCTGCAGGCCCAGTGAAGACCTTCTTGAAAATGTAAACTCTATTGTGTAGGGTTAAGAGTCTAACAATAGTTTTCAATAATATGCTGGCTATTTATGCGCCTCTATTTTGCTTAAGCACATAGACATCATCCACTTGAACTCAGAAATTCCACCTCAGGTTCCTGCCCTTCAACTTGAAGGCTTCTGCAGAAGCCATCTCTAGGAGAAACTCATTGTAACCATTAACCCCTGAGGAGACTGATTGACTGAATGCTGCTGCACTTTCCTTGTAGTAGTTGAATCTTCATGCTTACTCACAATGGGATTTGTGAAGAAAAAGGATGCTCTTATCGTTAAGGCCCTGGATTGGGACTCAGGACATCTGAGTTCATATTCCTGCTAGCTCTGCTACCAAAGACTGCCTGTGTGGTCTTGAGCAAGTCATTTTAATTTCATGTCTCAGTTCCCTCAATGTAAAATGAAGGTGCTGCGTGGACAGACTCATTGCTGTTACAGGTTCTGGGATATAACTGTGATGGGAACAATATATGTATCCAGATAGGTAAGAAGCAGAACAAGTTAATGGCTGAACCTTCATTCACCTGCAAAGAGGGAAGATAAGGCAGGATTTTCACTTCTAGCATGTGTGGGGGCAGGAGATAGGTAATACTCTTTTCAAGAGCATCCAAAAAAGTGCTAGGCACTTCACAAGACCAGTAAAGCCCCATTCCCAAAGAGTAAAACACATTCCTTGTGAGTGCCTTAACCACCAGCCTACTGGCTATTCTGGAGTGGGGGTCTCTCATTTTCTGAACAGAAATTCCATCCCGGGGCTGTGAAACCTTCCCCATGAATCTGCATTTTCTAAGCAAAAATGTTTCATCACAAAGTTCCCAACTGGCTCTAGGTAGCAGCACTTCTTCAAGAATGGAGGGATTCACAGTAGGGGAATAGGGGAACTAGATGGAAGAAAAGAGTCCCAGGTTTCCTTGGATAAGGCTACATTAAATTAAACTGGCCTATAGTATAATAACCAACAGCTGTGGTTTTCTTTTAATGTGATTGTCTCCTAATTCCAATATGTGTAGTAGTCTTTGTTCTGACTCCATCCAATGGGTTGTCATTGAATACATGCAGATTAAATTCTGCAGCTCCTTTCCCTCAAGATGAAGCATATCATCTCTGGAAAAAGTTACCCAAACATGGAAAGCAGAATCTATATAGGGCTAGGATCTTCCACATAGCAGAAATGGCTACTCAGGAATTGTAATCCTCTTCCTTGATTTCTGCAAACATAAACTGAGTCTTTATACTAGAGGACAAATACCTCATGAAGGGCTAAATTGTTCTTCAAAGTAACTGTGAGTTTACAATGTGTTTTGGGGTCTCACACTGTATTATGTTATTAAAAACCAATTTTGCTAGTAAGCAGCTGTTGTCTTGGCTAGGTTTTACTTTAGAATACTGTATCTGTGTGTATTGTTTGTTTATGTTGGTATTCAAGTGTTGCGTTTCAACTGAGTTTTACTGGACAGCCAAAAAGTCCTATGACCTTTGAAGGAAGTATAAAGTTGCTGTAATTTAAAAATCCAGAGGCTTATGGTAAGCCCTGAAAAAATACAACACTGATCAGTTACAGAATATTTTGTTTTATCTTTCAAAAAAGGTCAAGAACCATTGCTGCTTGCTTATTTGTGTCACATCAAGTGCCTTAATTGTTTCTCTTTTTATCTCCTGAGGATATAGCTTAGACGCATCCTTGGTTTATTTTTATGCCATATTCAGCCTGAAATATAGGTTACAATGAAATATCTATGAATTTTCTTGCTTGGGTGGATTTGTCCTATTCTGAATATAACTCTTGTTCTTGTGGCCTTGTAAAATAATAGGAATTCTCAATGAGGGATTGTAATCTTCACAGCTTTTCAGAAGCAGACTGCATCAGTATATAAAAAGCAGTTTGCCTTTGACAATGTGGGAGAAGTTACTTGGTCCACCTATTGTTCTGCTGTGCATTCGAGTCAGGTGGCTTTCTCCTCTATGCTGCCTGGGTGCCAGCTTGGGTGATAAGTGGGAGTACAAGAGAGACCTGCTCTCAGTTCTGAAGCCTGGCCCCGCCCTGGCCTTGACAAGCCAGGAGCAGCAGTTACAGGAAATGTCCAGTTTTTCACATGTAGCCCTGGGCTTGAAGCATGCTCAGTCTGGTCAGCACTGGGAGCTCTGAGGAGATGGAGCATGCTCAGTGATGAGGGAATCTTTGGAGAATTTAGCTGCTAAAACCTCTAAAGTCTTTACTAAGCATGTGTGAAGTGGAATATTTCCACTAGGCCAAATTTGGGTGGATTGTCACAGGAACAGCAAAAGACACATGTCCCTGGCACAAAGGCCACCTCCTTCCAAATTTAAGTCCCTGATCCAAAACATAGGGATGATGGAGCTTCTTAAAGAAAAGGTGGCCAGAATTTTTTTTATATAGAAAAACAAAGCATTTTTCCTCAGCCTAATTTTGGGAAAAGGCTAAACCATTTTGACCGAAATTTCAAACACACACGCGCACACACAAGACCCCACCAATTCTGCCTGAGGCAGTCACTCAGCATAGAACATTTTAGCCCAAGCCGTTAAAGTTGGGCAAAGTTATAAGTAATTGAAAACAGGGTGTTACAATGGGAAGCATTAGGCATCTTAATAAATGTTGCTCCCCACCCCACCTATAATACATTTTGAAGTGCTTTGACTTATTTCAGGGTGAAAAAATGCTGTGGAAATGTAAGATGTTCATTCTGATCTCAACACAAAGGATGCTCCTCTAAACATTTTACCTTGACATCTGGTGGTGCCATTACAGGTCCTAGGCCAGTAGTAAAACCTTCAGAAGCAAGTAACTTTAAATGGAGCTATTAATTCACAGTGGCATTGGATACTAAGTACTGCAGCTTTGAAAGGCTCTATCTTAAATAGGATTTTTTGTTTAGACAAGTTGCTATGGAAATTATTACTATCCCAGTACACTAAGATGTGGCAACATGCCACAACATGTATTGGGGTTTTCGTTACATTGGTCATAATACAATTTTTGCACTTAATAAAGTGGAAAACAATGAACCTATTTGATACTGTGAAAAACTGTCCATTTCTTCAGCATATATATGATACGAAATAAACATGCTTTTCTTTGTGGATTTTACCACCTGCCACAGCATAGACATGGCCAGTGGCATAACACCAATGCTGTACATTTTTGCAGCCCCTCCAATCACAAGACATTTTATATATCTATTTGGAGCTACACCTATCTCATACAGCAGAAAGCCCAAAAGGTCATTGAGTCCAGCCCCCTGCCTTCACTAGCAGGACCAAATACTGATTTTGACCCAGATCCCTAAGAGGCCCCCTTAAGGGCTGAACTCACAACCCTGGGTTTAGGAGGCCAATGCTCAAACCACTGAGCTATCCCTAAAGTACCACTCTTGCTTGGATCGCCAGCTGTACTCGAGCATCAAAGCAATTCATCTACCCCATGCGCTAGAATTCCAGTTCTTTCCCCCTATTTGATCATGATCCTTGCATCCTGTCTGACTCAGGTGCACCAGCAGCTTTTGCACAAGAGGTGGCTGATGAGAAAGAAGCCAGGGTTCTGAGCTGTGCCTGTAGAAACCACCCAGTACACCAGGGCCATGAAGAAGCTGATTCATTCAATAAAAGCAGAGCTATCCTCCATAGCAGTGCTATATGGATATAGCTTAAATTACACTAGGATCTTTTAGAATAAAAGGCCTTTTGGCCAAGATCAATTTTGTTACATAATGTCTTCTCGGGAAGGCTGTATCCTGCATTTGTAGGAAGTTAGAGTCTCAATAGGTCTCTTGTCTCTCACTAATATGATCCTACAAAGATGTAAAATATTGTCATTCTATATGAATAAGACCCAAAGAATTGGGGGTGAGGAGATTTTTAAAATGTAAATTTTCTGAATTCCTATAGAAACTTTTAATGTCTTTGAGACTGAAAATATTTCTGTAGCACAGCTGCTGTGGATGTACAGTAGATATCAATGTTTCCTCTCTTACAGACTATCAAATGTCAGATCACCTGTACAGTAAAATTATAGATTTTTCCTACAATCTTCTGCTTCAAAGCACCTAGCGTACAAATCCATTTAAGTAACTGAAGGGTCAGATTGCAAGGAGTGGTGTTAATCTTTGGTAAGTATTTTCCATTCACTGTAGTGTTGAGAAGTGAGATAAAGTTTTAAATAAGGTAGCTAAAGTCTGGCATTAGTCTCGGACTGTTGTGAAGTGGTAACATTTTCTTGGATTTAACCCAGACTCATGAAATATAAACAGTGGCAATCAACCTAATGCCCATAAATATGTTATGAATTGAAATATTAAATTAGTGACCACTTAAATTGGAAACACAAAAACAGTTTTAGGCTAGATTATGTCCCAAGGACACTGCTCATATTAAGGGACGTGTAGTTGTGCTACGCCAGAAACATCCTAGCAAAGAAATTGTGAGAGCAAGAAGAGGGGTGGTCCATTCTGCTCACTCCTTAGCGCCCCACCTTACTCTGGCATGCACACACCCAAGGTCTGGATAGTCCAGATACAGCTGTAGGCGAGGGAGGGTTCTCTTCCTTTCCTCCCTCCCTTTATTTCCTGGCATGGGTGTAAGTAGCCCAAGTAACAATCTAGCTTTTTAAATTTGTTTATAAACACAGCCATTTAATATGCAGGCAACTCACCAAAGTAACTGCAAGTCCTTTTGTTATAACCCTGTCAGACCTTTCACCCCTGCATTTCCCCCATTTGTGGTATTTTCATTATTCATGAGTCTGTACTAAGAAAACAAGTGGCAGGGTGTGTTTGTTCTAGTATACTTTGGAAAATATATACGTTAATAAAGACTAGGGTTAGGCACTAAGGAGTTCGGCTCCTAGACTTTCCATACAATTCCTGTATTACCTTGGATAAGTCTTAGACATTTTGCCTCAGCTTCCCTGTGAGACATTGGCATAGTTCTCACGTCATAGTGGTTTTATGAAGCTCACTTCTTAAACATTAAAAGCTTAAAAGCCTTTGGATGCATATTGCTATATATAAACATTTATTCTAGAACTATTATCTTCAGATGAAATGTTTTTGTGAAATTTGTAATCTAAGATTATAATATTTCTACAGTACATGGATTAGGAATTTTGTTTAGAGATACCGAATGCACATTGATACTACATTTTTAATAACCATATGTAGCAAGGAGAATATTGGCTGGTTTATATATACTCAAGTGGTTTAAGTGGGTAATAGATGCATGTGACATTCTGGAAAAAACACTTAGAGAACAATAGACAAGGTCACTTCATGTCATTTAGGCAGGGTGTTGCAGGACTATGAACCCAGTTCTCGCTTATGCTTACTCTTCCAGTTGGGATAATTACAGTTGCAGTTCAGTCAGCTGATTTCCAAAAATTCCTAGTGTAAACAGACTGTCTTCTAAAGAGAGGTAAAACACAATGGTAGGAGGTTGTTACTTCCTGTGGCTATCTACATTGTTCACAGTAACTTGATACAGCAAGCTAATAAATCACTCTGTACGTTACATATATTTTAATATGATGACCTCATTGAGAACTAGTTCAAGAAGTTCTGTCATGGGTAAAAATGTGACTTTGGTCACCACAGTCAAGGATTTAATATTTTCATAGTTTTTTTTTAATTAAGTAAAATACTGTAGTTCTTTAAAACAGTTGGATTATTTTAGTACTATATGCCAAAACAGAAAGGAAATCAAATCTGTTTCATGATGCAAATAGATTGCTGCCAGGGGCAGAGAACTGGGAAACTTCTGATTTATATTTATGAAAGAATACAAATATTTGGTCCTCCCTTCCTCCCCCGCCACACATACTATTACCTACCAGGATGAAGGGGTTAACTTCTTTTGCTTCTTATTGTCACTGATCTTTTCCAGAGCGGAAATGTGACAGATGTGAGACATTGGAAGCATGGAGACTTCAGACTATTATACTGAGATGTGCCAGAAGCTATGGGCAAATGGAATATCTGTAGACCTTTGTATCAATAAGTGTTATACATATCTTTGTGTTTCTAGCTCCTGTATGAAAGATGAAGTGTAGCATCCCAAGAGATACAGCACTTACTCTTTGAGAATAGATTAAATGTACTGAGAATTTACAGTTCCATTAATTAGTGAAAGTTCAAATACATTCCAAACTGGATCCTTTAAGAAATTTAGATCTGTCACTGTTTTCTTTGTTCTGAATAAAAATGGAATAACACAGACACTTGACATTTTCCATATAGTTAAACTAATTGAAATCTTGAGCATAGGGTATATTTGAAGAACTTAGTTTATAATTAAGTTATAAGCAACTGTTATATCTAATTGTTGAGATTATATGGGCTACAACAGACAGGCTCAAATAACTCTTAAGTGAGTCCATTGTGACATCAGACGTAACTCAACTAATCAAATCAACAAATTGGCTGTAATGACTCAGTGGTATGAGGGACACAGGGCATATGCATCAAGAGTTCTCAGTGGTACATTTAATGTCCCAAGTGTCCCTGCTCTTTAAAGCATCTGTCGTCCCATGCAGCATCAAAGCTCTCAATGCCACAGATGCATTGATTGCACTGTCCATTGAGTGAGTACTACTGGGGGAACTGAGGCAGGAGCACATGGGAGCTCTTAAAACTCCGAGCCATTGGGGCTCAGGGACTGAGCTCTCTGTGCCCTCCCGTCACATAGCATTGGTCTCACTAACACAGCCCTCCAAGCCAAAAAGTCAATTGCAAAGAAAAGGCCAGATTCACCACTGTACTTTGGCTGTATTGCACTGCTCTAGCAACTCAAAACAGCGGTCAACTCAATTTAACTGACCAGTAGGCACTGGCTGCTCTGTGCTCCTTCGATCTACTGGTGAATCTGCCCTTAAAAGTTAAAACTAAATAAATAAATAAGTAAATACATTTTACAACATGATCTCAGGTTGATTCTACATACCTTAAAACCATTAGAAATAAAACTTTGTAGCAGTCTCTGGGTTTCTTGTTTAGTGTTTATGTATGAGGTTTTTTTTAGTTTAAAAAAAACTAGGGAAAGTCCCGGAGAAAAAATTGTTAAGACGAAGTTGTGCTTGAGCGTACAAATCACTTAAGGGAAAAATATGGAGTTAAAATGTAATGTCTCTTTAAAAAATCAGTTTATTCTGATCGGGGCCCACAAATACTAAAATGCCTTAATCATGATCATACAGTTATTGCATGGTAGAGCTATGCAGGAGAGTTACAGTTGTTTGGGTGCCTTAACTGTGCCTTACTCACTCTAACATTTTTGGATTTCTTTTGAGTGTAACCTTGTCTCTGAATTTCCTGGGTTTGTGATACTTAGTTTTAGGATAATTACAACATCCATGTAATTTTTCCACACTTAAGTTATTGGTACATACGCTCAAACATAACTCCATCTGAATTTAGTTTTATCTGATATTAATATATATTTATATAATGAAGCACCAGGCAGGGTTTACATAGATCTATTCAGCAGAGACAATTTTCTGTAAATGGGAATGGTGGTTTAACACCCTCAAACTTTAACAGGAACACTCTTCTCCACTAAGGCTGGGTCTACACTACCCGCCTGAATCGGTGGGTAGAAATTGACCTCTTGGGGATCGATTTATCGCGTCCCGATGGGACGCGACAATCGATCCCCGAATCGACGCTCTTACTCCACCAGCGGAGGTGGGAGTAAGCGCCGTCGACGGGAAGCCGCAGAGGTCGATTTTGCCGCCGTCCTCACAGCGGGGTAAGTCAGCTGCGATACGTCGAATTCAGCTACGCTATTCACATAGCTGAATTTGCGTATCTTAAATCGACTCCCCCCTGTAGTGTAGATGTAGCCTCAGTTTCTGCAGAACTGAATCTTTGGCTTTTATTTTAAAAGTGAGGTCCTTCATTGTTCTGAAGGTAGTTAACTTACCATGACTCGGGGTTAAAGTAACTTAAAGGACTTACCAGTACGCTGGAGTCCTGAGCAGGGGGCGGGGCCTCAACCAGAAGGTGCAGTGCCTTTAAATCCCTGGGCCCTTTAAATTGGGATTTAAAGGGCCCAGGGCTCCGGCTGTGGTAGCGGCGGTTGGGAGCCCTGGGCCCTTTAAATCACTGCCTGAGCCCCATGGTAGCGGTAGCTGTGGCAGCGGCTGGGAGCCCCGAGGCTCGGGTGGCAATTTAAAGGGCCCCAGGCTTCAGCCCGTGTGGGGAACCCTGGGCCCTTTAAATCACCGCTGGAGCCCTGGGGCTCCCGGCTGTCGACGCTACCCTGGGGCTCCGGCAGCGGGGCTCTGGCAGTGATTTAAAGGGCCAGGGGCTCCGCTGCGGTAGTGGCGACTGGGAGCTCCAGGCCCTTTAAGTCACCGCAGGAGCCCCAGGGTTCCCAGCCGCTGCCGCTACCCCGGGGCTCTGGCAGTGGGGCTCTGGCGGCCCTTTTAATCGCCGGCCTTGGGAAGCTGCCCCTTGCCGGTACGCCAGACCGGACTGGCTTACTGTCACCTCTGTCACTACTATTAGATGCTGGACTTTCCCCCCCCCCCCGCTCAAATCTGCAGCCAGTCTGAAAAGTAGCTCTGACAGGTGTGGACAAGTGTTAATGCTGAAACCAAACATTGACAAGTTAAACATCAACCTTTAAAGCTTTTTATTGAAATGATCAGCAGTGAAAACATCCAATGTGATGTGTTCATTGTTTTCAAAAGCAGTGATGGAAAAGGGGGATGCCGTGTGGGAATGCAATCAGCTAATTTTTGTGTGTGTGTGTGTGTTTTTTTAATATATATATATATATATATATATATATATAATAAAAGAAATGCATTGCTATGAGCAGTGAAGTCATGCGGTGCTCTCCTTTTGCTCTACTAAGCAGCCTCTGGGTTTCTCCGCCCCTTACTGGGAGAAAAGAGAGAAAGGAGCTGCCACTTGGGGGAATGAAATGATCATGCTACTAAGTAACAGTTGCTACTGGGCTTCTTCCCCTACTTCCTGAAGAAGTGGTGGAGGGAAGAGAAAAGCTTCTTCCCTCCACTTCAACTGGCTCTCAGGGCCGTTGAGCAGCAGCTCGTGCACTTTCTCTCTCTGCACACCACTCTGAGCCATACCTTAGCTTATTACTGCACTGCTGGAAAAAAGAGGAGTTGCAGAAGTCCTGTTTAAAGTAGGGAAGTTGGGTAAAAATGTCCTACCTGTGCTAACACCTTTCAGTTCCAGCTGCGGGTAGCACTGTTGGGAGCTCTGATAATGATGGGCAATGATGGACTTTTTAGCTCCAGAAGCCTGTACTGTTTGACTTAGTCATCAGCCTGAAAATGGCCTCAGAAGCCTCATGAAGACTTCCTTGGTGATACGGTATGAATTTAGATGGATTATGTGGGCTAAAGGGTGTTAACATACAGGGCCGGCTCCAGGCACCAGCCCAGCAAGTAGGCGGCCAATGGAGAGGGGCGGCACGTCCAGCTCTTCGGCGGCAATTCAGCGGCATGTCCCTCACTCCTCTCCGAGCGAAGGACCTGCCGCCCAATTGCCGCCGAAGACTGAAGCGGCGGCGGTAGAGCTGAGAACGCGTTCGCAGCTTTTTTTTTTTTTTGCTGCTTGGGGTGGCAAAAACCCTGGAGCTGGCCCTGTAACATAATCCAGTCACTGCCCAATAGTGTTAAACAATGTTTGGGGTTTGGTATACAGAGAGCTTAGCCTGCTTAGTACCATGGCAAACACCCCCTTAAACATCCTTTTAAACTTTTATTAAAGGCACAAAAAGAAGAAAAAACAGTTAACGCCTTTGAAACGTAAAACATTAAGGCCTTGGCTACACTTACCCGGTAGTTCGGCGGCTGGCAATCGAACTTCTGGATTCGACTTATCGCGTCTAGTCTGGACGCGATAAGTCGAACCCGGAAGTGCTCGCCGTCGACTGCGGTACTCCAGCTCGGTGAGAGGAGTACCGCGGAGTCGACAGGGGAGCCTGCCTGCCGAGTGTGGACCAAGGTAAGTTCGAACTAAGGTACTTCGAACTTCAGCTACGTTATTCACGTAGCTGAAGTTCCGTACCTTAGTTCGAATTAGGGGGGTAGTGTAGACCTGGCCTAAGAGAGGTTTTCCTGTTAACATCCCTCTTAGCTGTAGAGACTCTTTAGAAGGAAAAAAGGCAGTCTTTAGGCAGTATTAAAGCTGGTAATAACTGTCCTTTTAGGGAAATGAGAAGTAGTTAGTTAAGAAGAGAAACACACACAAGAGGGGAGAGAAAAGAACAGCAAAAATAGAAAATGCCGCTTCTGTCTCTGTTGTTGACTCACGTGCAGCATCAGCATTGGGAAAACACACAGCACAGCATACGAGCTTATCAGCCACTCCTTATCAGACCTGGCAAACTTGTATCTGCTTGGGGCTCTTTAGGGCATTGCATTTAGCGGCTTCTTTCTGCTCACAGGCTTACAGCAGTGTTGTAAAATATACAGTCTTGGCCAGTTAAAGGCAAAAGGAGAGAGATGGGAAAGAAGAAATAAGCTAGGGAGGGAAATGAACACAGTGGAGAGGGTGAAGGGAGGGGCAGGCAGTCTCCGATCCCAGGTGGTGTTTGGAATATATAGCTGAAGCCGATAGAGGTGGCAGTGTCATCGGGGTCCCTCCCAGTCTGGTCAGGACATCTCTGAGGATTAGGATGACGAAGGTCTAGGGATGGCAGTCACGAGGGTGAAGCTCACTTCTGGAGCCAATGTTTTTTCCAAAGTCTGTCTTTTTAAGAAACCCAAAAGGAAGTGTTGGGCGGAGCAGCCCATCCCCTCGTTACTTTGGCCACCAACAGAGCTCATTTCCATAACACCAGTTTTGGGTAATTGATATTTGGTCTCACAATGTTCTTGTTTACCAGGTGTGATCTTAACACAGTCCTTGAGATATATCAGAAGGCCTTTTTGTTTGTACTAATTCAGTCGTTCAGTCTGCCTTTTGCAACTGTTCCCATCAATATTTATTATTATAGGTTGTTGTGAAACCCTATGAACTTTCACTGACATTTTACTGTTGAGCTCACAATTAGGGTAAATTTGAAGGCCCAATAATCACAACAGTTGTGTAGGGTCTATTTTTTAGAGCAACTGAAATAAGACTGTTTACAGTGCCCAAGGGTTTGAAAGGTTTTCAAAGTGGGGACTTTACAGATGGAAATAAGTTCAAGTTGGCACAATTTGCCAAAGGGCAAATCAACTACATAAAGGAGATATAACTTCTTTTAGCTAAGAAGAAAGAGAACGAAAGAAATGTTTCTTGTGAATTGTTGTCTGTAAAAGGCACTGAGGCAGTTCTGATGAAACAGTCTTGATCAAACTAAGCAGAATGAATTATTATTAAAGTAATGTGATAACCTGAATAAAATATATTGGCAATAATATCAGAGGCACAAATCTCAATCTTCTGAAAACCTAGTGTGACACCCTGGCCATAATAATATGTGACAAATGGCATTTAATGTGTGGTCAATAAAATGGAATAATAGAGTAGAGAGCTGGAAATGATGAGATGTTATTTTCTCTACCCATGTGGAGCTCTTCTGAAATCTCACTTTCAAGATTTTTCCATATTAGGGAGTATTGACTAATAGTTAGAGCAAGAGCCTGTGTAAGGATTCTTTGGCTTTTGAGCGGACGAATAATTCGGCAGAAGGAAGAAAGCATGTACTTGTAAGGTATTCTTTAGAAGGCATCAGAAAGCTTGAAGTCAGAATTTGAAACACTGCATCATTTCTATCTGTGAGATTGGTGTTATAAAATGTTTTGTTTCTCAGGCCATGCTCCCTTTTGCTCTCTGCTCTCCTCTTGCGCCATGCCAGATCCTGTATCTACTTCATATAATTAAGTCAATGGGAGTTGCATGCATGAAATATCTACAGAATAGAGTCCTTTCCAGGTGCTAGAGGCTTTGTTAAACAGAATTTCTGTGCTGATTGTTTTTAGAGATTAAATCCATACAGCTGCCTCCTGATCCTTCTCTGTTGCCTTTCAAAGTTGCAATAAATTATAAAGTGCTGTTTTGTAGCTCAGTTCATGTTCCTTTTTTCCTTCCCTCCCTTAGGGCATCTATACTCCATGTAGCTGCAACTTCCATAAACGCTAATGGAATATCCACGTCTACATCAATAAGGGAAGATGAAACCTCTTAAAAAAAACAAGTGCAGGTTGGGGCTATTTTTGATTTACTTGGAAGCTAAATCTTCAAATGTGGTTATCTGATGAAATGTGGCCCACATTTTCTGCCATCATCTCATTCTGTCACGTACTTCGAAATGAAACAGCGTGGCTGCTACTATTATGCAACGGCATTTTTCTTGTTCTGCTTTTGGACTATAGTGCCAAGTTTTTTAATTGTCTGACTCCCCTGGTTTGACATGTTTAGTGTTATCCTGGCTTCAATATAAATTATGATAACTCTGCCACCACTAGTCTGAGAATCAGAAATGAAACTGCATAATAACGTTTATTTCCAATGCAAGTAAAAATTGCAATAATGTCCATCTGGCTAGAAATCTAATTGTGACCTTGCAGTCTAGCCTTCCTCTAAAGTTGACTGCTGTTGAGTATTTGTTGCGACTGGGTCCATTTTGTTCATTTGTGTGGTGGTGCGGGGGGGGGAAGGGGTTATTCCTGGTCCTGCTATGTGATCTTGGGCAAGTCACTTAGGGTACAAACTCAGATTCATGCTATTGCACTAAAACTAGTTGTGCCGATGTTGTGACTTGGGCTGGAGCTCAAGTTCTGAAGCCTACAGATGGGAGTGGGTGTCAGAGCCTTAGCTCCAGCCCAAGCTGCAACTAAAAAACTCTGTCTACACAGCTATTTTTAGCATGGTAACATGAGCCTGAGTCTGCTAACCTGGGCTAGGAGGCTTGCTGCTGCAGGCTGCCACTGACTGTCTAGATCAGCGGCTCTCAAACTGTGGGTCGGGACCCCAAAGTGGGTCGCGACCTCATTTTAATGGTCGCCAGGGGTGGCATTAAACTTGCTGGGGCAGAAGCCGAAGCTTGAGCTCCACCACCTGGGGCCAAAGCCAAAGCCCCACTGCCTGGGGCTGAAGCCCTCGGGCTCAGGCTTCGGTCCCCCCTCCTGCGGTCGTGTAGTAATTGTTGTTGTCAGAAGGGGGTCATGGTGCAATGAACTTTGAGAACCCCTGGTCTAGATGTTCCCTGAGACACTGGCCTTAGTTGCCCATCTATAAAATGAGGATAATAGCACTTCCCTACCTCACAGTAGTGTTATGAGGATAAATGCATTAAAAAATTTTGAGATGCTTAGGTGCTACCTTAATGGAGGCCATATAATTATCCTGCCCTGATGGGCTGGAAAGCATCTCTGCTTGGTCTATAAACACGTATCTGAGGTTTTGGAGTATGCTTTGCTGCACATGTGTAAGGGAGAGGCCTGTTTTTTAATTTCATTATGGAAAAGCCACAGTGTACAACAGCAGTGCTAGAAACAATGGTAAGTGTTTCCACCAAGAGCAGAAGGTCCCGAAAGGCAAGTGGCTAGAGCGGGATGAAAAATGTTTGCGTTTTTCCCATGGAAATTTTTGACTAAAACAAACAGTTTTCATCACAAGTTTCCATGGAACATTTTGGTTTTAGGCAGAAGTCCTGCTGCAGCAGTGCCTCAGGGAAGGTGTGGTTCATGTACCTCACACTCTCATTCTCTTGGAGATGGGAGCCAATCTGTCATGGGAGAGGTCGTCCAGCTGAGGCGCGTGGCCCATAGAAGAGAACCAGGACATGAAGCAATCAAACTATAAGGGAAGCACTGCGATAGCATTTCCAAATCAAAATGTTTTCATATTTGGGCTGAAATATTTCAGGTTTGTGATGAAAAGTTTGTTTTCTGCACAAGGCAGACGCTTCCCCCCCCCAAAAAATTGTTTATTCAGAAACCCAGTTTTCCATCTAAAAAGAGCTTTAATGAAAAAACTCTCAACCAGCTCTCAGGTGCCCTTAGATTTAAAGTTTTCTTCTACATGCATGTGCATAGTTGGTTTGGGATGTGATGGTATTTTATGTGCAATTTTAGAGGCAGTCACTGAAGTAGACACTCCACTTTCCATCCTCTCTCCGTGTGTGTAAAGTGGTCTAGCAGAGGGTCACTCTGTACGTTACTATACAAGGACAAATTATGTTTTGTCACTAGACCATTGGATGGGATCAAAACTGCAGCTTGATGCAAATATATAAACAAGTATTTGATCTGTTTTCTCTGCCTATCTTTTTTTCTCCTCTAAAGATCCTTTTAAGTTTTCAAAGATGAGAATACATTTAAAACCAAATCCAACTGTTCTGCTGTAGAACTGTTCAACTGTAGAAGTTGCTACACATCCTACTCCGGTATGGCTGGAAAACTAAACTTGCTTTCCTTTCTAGCAAAGGTAACTTGAATTCGCACTACCTGAT